GTCTGTAAGTCAAGTCGTCTGTAAGTCAAGGGTCCACTGTATTTCATGGAGAACAGCATATTAAGGGATCCTAACCATAATAGGCAAGATGGCTGGATAGCTCAGAGGTTTAGTTGGTTGGGAGTTCAGTTCCCCACTGTGCCTCCTGCAAGCAGAGTCAGCTTGTGTGGCCTTGGGCAAGTTGCATAGCCCTAGAGCAGCTCCTGAAGAAGGGGATGGCAAACTACTTCTGAGTACTCTTTAGCTAGAAAACTCTGAAAAGGGCCACCATAAGTCAGAATTAACTCAATGGAACAAGATAATGGTGATTAACCTGAACAGGCAAACAATACTTCTGTGTGACAAAGCAGAACAGCAGATTCTGAGGATAAACAACAGGTGGGAAGTTGTAAGCATTGCTGAAAACAGAATGGTGGCCTGGATGGGCCACAAATATGATCTAGCAGAACATTTTTTTTAACATTCCAGTAACATCCAGTGGCCAAATTGGCACTCTAGGGTGCTTAGAAACTGAGTTATGATCTTATAACATTACTTTGTACTATTCTTTTAGGTTTTTAAAAACCATGTAATTGCTTATTTTTACATGTATTGTATTATGTATGTATTTTAGTTGTGACTGTTGTAGTTTTTATGGAAACTACTTAGAGATTTTATTAAGTGGTCTAGCAGTGTTATATAATAAATAAATATTGCTTACAAAGTCTTTATGATTAGATAATAGAATGTGCACGATACAATCATAAATTTCCTAGAAATGCTTTGCGATGGAGGTGATTTAGAGCAGTGGTTCTTAACCTTTGTTACTCAGATGTTTTTGGACTGCAACTCCCAGAAGCCTTCACCATCAGCTCTGCTAGCTGGGATTTCTGAGAGTTGCAGTTCAAAAACACCTGAGTAACAAAGGTTAAGAACCAGTGATTTAGAGCAGTGGTTCTTAACCTTTGTTACTCAGATGTTTTTGGACTGCAACTCCCAGAAGCCTTCACCATCAGCTCTGCTAGCTGGGATTTCTGAGAGTTGCAGTTCAAAAACACCTGAGTAACAAAGGTTAAGAACCAGTGATTTAGAGCAGTGGTCCTCAACCTTGGGCCTCCAGATGTTCTTGGACTACAACTCCCAGAAGCCTTCACCACCACCTCTGCTGGCTAGGATTTCTGGGAGTTGAAGTCCAACAACATCTGGAGGCCCAAGGTTGGGGACCAGTGATTTAGAGCACAATCCTAACTTACTAAAATCATTGGGGGGCTAGTTGAGTTGACCGTAGGCTGCCTGAAGCTATGTGGAATTCAAATCCCTCCCGAGCTGGGGGAAATTGGGAATAATTTAGGACTACCCTCACTCTGACTGAACTGTTTGCCAACACTGAGGTTGCACCCTTGAGTTGTAGTAACTCACCTCCACCCCCATCCTCTGGTTTCTCCACCACGTTTTGACTCTTCTGTCAGAGCTTAGGAAACAGATCAGTTCTGTCACGTTTTAGGCCTGTAAGTGGATCCCTGAAACCACTTGGCAGAAGAGGGTTCTGCTGTCTGAAAGGCATCTTTGCTAGCAGAGGGCCATTTGTTTTGCACTGTATTTTGCCTTTTAAACCCTTACAACATGGGCACCCTTCAGTTGGATTGTGCTGTTTATTAGGCTTATCGTTGAGACTGAACCATTAAATAGTTCTAACCTTTGCCTTGTTCTTCAATTTCTAAAATGGAAATGAGAGAGTTAATTGTTTATTGAAAAGCCCTCAAGTTGACTCAACATATCATGGGCCCCCTTAGCATTTTGCTTCTTAATGGGAGACTATATTTTAAAAGCATAGATCAACTAATACTACTTCTGGGCTGAGTTGGTGTATTTAAAAATGAGGCAGAGCTGTCTTTAGAATCTCTCTTAAGTATGCCTTATTTTTGTGGCAAGCTACAACAGCTCAAGAGTCATCATTACAATTCAGAGGTAAACATACATTTGGAAAATAAAATATTGCTCCTTCTCAATTATTATGGGCTCTGGTGTAAATATAGGATGAAACTTGAGTACAGGAAAAATGAAATAAAAGGATTGTTACCAGTTGTTGACGATCCTGAATTAGAGTGGTACAACACATTATGAGGAAAACATTTAGGGTCCCAATGTTGTATTCACTGAGGAATTCATGAGTGCTTGTGGAGGGGTGGGTTAGGACATTTATTCACAGGAAAGAAGTGGGTACAGTGGGGTCTTGACTTGAGAACTTAATCCGTATTGGAAGGCGGTTCTCAAGTCAAAAAGTCTGTAGGTCAAGTCTCCATTGACCTACAGTGCATTGAAAACCAATTAATCCCGTAACAGGCCGTTTTTGTTCCATTTTGGTTTTTTTCTGGTCCATAAGTCAATTCTCAGTCTGCAAGTCAAACCTAAATTTTGCGGCCAGAGAAGTCTGTAACTCAAAAAGTCTGTAAGTCAAGCTGTCTGTAAAGGGTCCACTGTCTTTTGAGTCTCAATGAAAGTTACAAAAGAGTCTTCACTATTGTCTTTGACATTCTGCCAATGAGAAATTGAAGAAGTCATTGACAGACATCACAACCTGATTCAGAAAAAGTTAGAGAGAGTGCAGAATTTAAGTTCAGCTGACTTCAGGGAGACCACAGTTGTTTGCAAATTATGTTGCAAGCATGTTGTGCAAGACTCTGACTGAAAGGTAACTGAAGATGGCTGCTGATCTATGAATTCTAATGGAGCTATGACAGCTAAGATCCAGGATCTGCAGCCTTCCTTTATCTATTCCTGGTGTGTGCTCATTCAGGTGACAGGTGAGTGACAGAATATCTGGATGGTGCTCATCATCATCAACAACATCATCAAGAACAGCAGCAAGAATAGTTAAAAGACTATTCAAAACTGCTACTGGGGCCCTTGCAGGATTAATGACCTTGAAACTTAAGCTTCATAGTAAATCCGCCTCTGCCTAAATCTTTGAATTTTTATATATAGTAGTGAGTCATATGTAATATGTAAGAAACTTGGACATCCATAATCTTGCATTTCTTTATATTTTATTGAAAATAAAATTTCCATGCTATTCCGGAAACATAACCTATATCTTGCCGAGAAAGGGATCTTCCATCTGTGACTTCAAAAAACAAGCACACACAGGCAGTGATTCAAACAGGTACAGGATTCATAGGCCAGCCAGTTTTGATCCATGATAAAACATTGAAAAGACAGCTAAGATAGAGTGTGAATAGTCTGAAGCATAAGGATATTGTGGAAAACAAAACAAAGATTGAGGGAAAGGGGGAAAGCAGGTTATCAAAAGTAAAAATTGTCTAGAGTGAGCTGTTAGAGCAGTACAACAATGGAACCGCTTACCTCAGGAGGTGGTGAGTGCTCCATCACTGGAGAAATTCAGGAAAAAAAATTAGACAACTATCTGAGAGATCTACTTTGATTTGAATTCCTACACTGAGCAGGGGGTTGGACTTGATGGCCTTATAGGCCCCTTCCGATTTCATGATTCTATGATTCTAAAACTCACACCAGAAGAAAATGTTGTGGCCTTAATGATTCAAGGCAATATACACCATTGATACAACATTCAATTTCCTCCACTATTCCATTTGAGTATTCTCTGTTTTCCATTCCAAGTTTCTCCTTTCACAGAATGGAAAGTCTGTGAATTTCCATGAAGGCACACTATTAATGTGAATATTATTATGTATAAAACAAAGAGAAGACAGCAAATTTATAATGCAAGTAAACATTGTTTCGAAATCCATTAAAAACACAAAAAAACTCCACTGGGTTAGATAAACACATCTCTGCTTTTGCTTCAGCAATACAGAAAGAAAGAAACAAACTTGCCAAATTGTTATGGGGAGACCTGCCAATAGCAACAAAATACTATCCCAAGATATTAAAAGAATTCTTCCCTTGGCAGCCACTCATCAGCCATTTGGGCCAATATTATTCTTACAATATTATTAGGTAACATCTCTCATTGGTTACTGTTATATGACTGAAATTCTGAATAACCAGTCTTCAGGAAGTGTATCTGTGTTCTCCTGTCTTTGTTGCCCTTATAGTCTAAATATAACAGTTGTGGTGGTGATAAGGCCACTATAAAAATACTTGGTCTTCCATCCCTTTAGATGCATCAGTGTAAACTCGTGTTATGCACTGCTTAAGAGTCAAGATGGTTGAGATCCTTAGCATGTATTTAGAGACAGGGTGAATGAGAGACAAGGTGTAGTGGACAGGTTGTCAAATTAGGAGACCTGGATTCAGATCCCTGGTTGGCCATGGGAACTCCCTGAGGGATGCCAGTGATAAACTACTCCTTGAGCATCTCTTGTATTTTGAAAACTTTTTAAAGGGTTGTATTAAGTTAGGTGAATTGATGGCATATAGCAACAGGAACTATGTACTTAGAAGCAGTGATCACTCCACTGGTAAAAAAAAACAAAAACAACCCTGTGTCTCATAGTAGAGATGCTTTCCTTCACCTACATATCCTGATCTACATACCTTCAACAATACAGTGGAATTGACATACAAAAAGATGACACAATTTTTTAAAAGGAATGACAAATTTGTTAAAACAAAAACTTAATTACTTGAAATCAGATTAACATTACCTATTTATAGTTTTAATCTGTTATAGGTAACGTTAATCTGATTTCAGGTGATTAAATTTTTGTTTTAACAAATTTGTCATTCCTTGAATCAGAGCATAGTTCAACAGCTATGTTGGCTTTACTAACTTTCTGACACCTGGTACTTTCCACGAAAGACCATTTCTTGGAACATTTTGTCAGCTTCCATAAAGATCAAGCCAGATGCATTTCAATTCTGAAGTCTTCTTCAGTGGCTGTGTTATATCTATGGCAGTATAATGCAGTAGCTTTGAACCATTTGTCAGTGTCTTAGTTTTTATTCTAATGTTGATTGATTGAGGTCTATTTATGGCCAAGTAGTCCCACTGTATACACTGTCGATATATAAAAACAACTTTCTGTGTTCCATTTCAGATTTATCAAGAGAGCAGATATCTGAAAGAACTTGAAAATGAAAGACAGCACTCCAGAAGAACCCCAAACAAAAGCAAACCGAAAGTCCCTCCCATCAGCTGTTTTAGGGTTCATCCTTTCCCAAGGTGGGGAGATCCGTGTGTATTTGTGTGTGTTTGTGCAAGCATTGGGTGTTTAGATAAAGCACTGGCAAAGATCTGGAGGAAGGTAATTCAGAGGTAAACATGCTGCAAAATTAGTATGATTTCATTGTTATCAATGTACACGGCAACTTATAAGGACTATATATATAGTCCAATACTGCAATACAATAGGTGAGATTGTGCAAACTAGATTTGCAGCCTTAGCAATAATTGTGACTTAAACAGGGGAACATGTTATTCTTTGTCAATGACATGCACCTCATTGCCCTATCATAGGGTGAACCTGCAGGCTCTAGTTGCTCCCACTGAGTTCTGAACTGCTACAGACAGGCTGCAAAATCACTGTCTCACGGTGAAAGGAAAAACAATAATCTGCTAACTGTGGATCAGCAAGTCACCAGCAAGTTCTCAATGTGTTCCTTTCTTAAGTAAAAACAATACTCCTCTGCATTTCTATATTAACCATGCTGATCAATGCTGGAGAGATTTCAGAAAACAATGGCTGCTGTTAGAAAACAGCAAGCGGCCTGTTGGGTGCTAGTGATGGCACAGAGTTCAGATTAATCAACCATAACTGGAGATCAGATATTTGTATTCGTATCCCGAGGGATACGAATACAAATATTGGCACCATAGGTGCCTGGTGAAATCAGACCCTCCCCCCAGAACCGACCAGTCCACTTACCGCTTGCCACATGGCATGCACAGCCGTCGTCATTCGAATCACACCAATCGCAGAAGTAGCCCAATCAGCGTTTCCCCACCTCTTTGTACAGCTGCCTGCTCAGCAGATGAGTGAGGAGATTCATCATCCTGCCTCCACACTGGTGTGGTTGACTGTGCAGAGAGGCATGGAAGCGCCATCCAGGCTACTTCCTCTATTGGCACAATGTGAATGATGATGGGCATGCACAGTGAATGGTAAGTGGACTGGCCAGTTCTGGGGGGGGGGTCCAGTTTCCACAGGCACCTGTGGTGGTGATATTCGTATCCTGAGAATAACCCGTTTCTAACCATAACCTATTGTGTCTAACATTTCTGTGGTGATGATATTCATATCCTGAGCGAAACAAATACGAATATCCCATCTCTAACCATAACCTATTGTGTCTAACATTTGAAGCCTGAGACATCCATTTAGGGATGTTCAGTCAGCTACTTCAGAAGCTGTAAGGTCTAACTCTGTAGAGCGCCAATACAAAAGCTAGCCTTGTCTGTCTTGTTGAAAACAGTGGCAACAACTTTTCCCACCTAGCTTAAGAACTCATTCTGAAAGGTTTCAGAACTTGCCCCCACTGCCATATAAAAAGTTCTAAAACCTTACAGAATATGGAATTAGGGCTTCATCCTGGATGTATAGATGACTGGCCTGTTTCTGTGGGGTGGAGGGGCCATGTTAGTTTGTTGCAACAAAAGCAACAGGAGTCTTGTGGCTTCATTGGAGATATATTTTCATGGACTTCATCCCACTTGAATGCAGCTGCAATCTACAGTGTTTGCCACAAGACTAAACAGTTTGTTTGTTTGTTCGTTTGTCTGATAGATGGCACTGCTTTTATTTTCATATTATGTACCTTTGGAAATTAATACTACTTTCTAACCCACCAGGCCCTTAATACAGTTCACTGGGGAGGGGGTGGGAAAGAAGAAGCTAAATCCAGATTAAAACAAACCTTAAAATGGCACTTCATCCAAACATCATGCTCTATGATGTGGCAGCCACTGGTTGACCAATTACAATGGAACCGGTTGAAATCCAGTAGTATGTCACAGCTAATTGAATCAGTGGAAGCTGTGGAGGAATTGACTCACCAAATCTCCACTGATTCAATGGAGCTACTCTAGTGCAAGCTATTACTGGATTTCAGCCAAACATCAGAGATATAACAATTTAAAAAAAAATCAGTTCAGGAACCCAATTTATAATGACATGAACAAGTAAGGCATTTGTAATAGTCTCCCCACAAACAGATCCTGCCTCTTGGTTCACATTCATGAAACATTGACCTCTAATTTTTTTTGTCCCAGTGAGTCCAAGAGAGGAACTGAAGATAGGTTGACATTTGCGCCAGCACCATTCTATCTGGCTGTTCCATGGGGATGACAGGAAAAGCCCAGTTAACAAGACATTGTTCAGGGTAGGCAACAAGAATAAATATGTGACTCACAATGAACAGGTTTTGTACAGCTGTTGTACATCCTCTAGCTAATGAAAAGCATCTACCATAGAGAGCCTGTTACTTCAGAAGTGGTCTGTCATTGCTCACTTATCTGAGAGGGTTTTCCCTCTGCAGCTCAATAGGCTGTTGAAAGTACAGTGGCAAGCACATGCATTGCATAGATGAGGGAACAGACATGGAAACTGTTTTATCTAAAAGCCTGCAAGCCCATATATCAGGTCTCTCTTTCCTGCAGCAAATTGCGTTGACTCTGTTCAAAGTGGCAGTCAAAATACAAGAAATAATTTCACTAATTGCGTCGTGGGGAGGCCAAGATCCTGTCTAGGTGAACACCTTCTTCAAAGTACTTGGGGGTTTCATGTTCATTTTAATTATTTAATTCAGCCATTGCTACTCTAGAAGTGGTATTAATATATTCAAATCCTAATGCAATGGAAGGAGTTAAAACAGACGGACTGAAAATAATATTGAGGAAGACAAGCCCTTTAGTGCCAAAGAGACAGTGTTTGCCTGGTTCCACAGTATGGAGGAAACTGCTGAAAAATACAAAGCCCGATCCCAAAAGCTTAGCTCCATCCCACCCACCCCTAGAAGTTCTTATTATTAATGTGTAACTTCTATTTGCTCATCAGATGGTTTCATTTACTACCTGGCAGCCTTTCTGCTCAGTGTCCATCTTAATATAAATACAGATTTTCAGAAGTTTAGAAGAATGGCATATTGCGAATAACTATGTGCTGACATCCAATTAGAGCTGTGCTTTTAATTCATCAAGTGCATTTTTAAAGTCCTTCCAGAAATCCCATTCCTGCAAACAATTATGCACATGAGTGATCCTGAGCAATGAAAGAGTCTGCTTTCACGTGATGGCTTTCAGGAGACTTCTTCTACATATAGACAGAGTCACATGGAAACTTCTGGCTTATCCTGTTCAAAATTCTTCCTCCAAGCCACTCTAAAGCAATCATTTCTCTCTGCCTAGTATGTACTGGCAGGCTTTACCAATGTGATTGTGTTTCTCTGGGTTTGCTGTAGAATTGAGTAGAGAGCTTTGCCCAGTTTCATTGGGTGTGTATATCTCTTTCAGCGCGCAGAGTGATTTCCCCACCACTACTCTTCTTTTGATTAAAGAGAGTGTATCCAGAGCAACCTGCTGATATTGTTTGCCATGGAAAAGTTGGAGCAGAGCACATTTAGAGCACATGCTATGCATATAGGAAATCCCCAAGTTCAATCCCTGTCGTATTGGGAAAAAATGGGAAATGATCCTGTTGGAAAGCTTGGAAATACTGACTTCCAGTCTGTCTACAATAATGGTTCCCAGCCTTAGATCCCAAGATGTTCATGGACTATAACTCCCAGAAATCTTGGCCAGTACAGCTAGTGGTGAAGACAGCTAGTGGTGAAGGCTTCTGGGGACCCAAAGTTGGGAACCAATAATGGAATAAGCAGTATGGATAAAGAAGGATTAATAGTCTAATTTTGTTATAAGGCAGTCTCCTGTATTCCTACATGTGTCAATGTTAGATCCCCAAATTAATATATTTTTGTTGCAACATATACTTGTCCACTGATCAAAATCCTCCTCTGAAAAACAATTTTACATGTCACTAAACATTGACTTCTCAACCAGAAGATTGGTTCACTTTTGTAAAGTGTCCAAGGGAAATTGGGAAAATTACGGGCCAGTTAGCTTAATATCTGTTATGAGTAAATTAGAGAAAGGCATTATTAATCATATAAGTATTGGAGCAGAATGTCTTTTGGGAAGGATTGAGATGGCATTTGAAAAGTTACGTCCTTGTGGATTATCCTTCCCCCACCCTGCACCCCAGTTCTTTAAAGAGTGTTAAATATGTGAATAGGGTTCATGTGGTAGAGTCTGGCTAGAATCCTGTACAGTGCTGCAGAACATAAAGTTGCTGGAATTTATGCCTAGATAACCAAGATAAGACAGTTTGCTTGCGCAATTAGTCACATGGTTCCCATCATGACCAATTGTGCAATGTGATCATTAATAGAATTTCTGCCTTGGTGCTATTACAGATGTTGCCCTCAGCTATGCAGCAAGAATCCAGACATTGTACATCTGGAACTTCTTCAGACTTTTCACAAAGACTGTTGAGCGAACATAGGAGTCGTAGGATTGGATGAAACATCCTTTTAGGATTGGTCAGCAGTGAAAGAACATGAAGCAGACAACAGCAAGAAATGGTTTGTTCTCCCAAGGTTCCTTATTAGGACCAGAATTTTAGATCATGTCTCCCTAACACATTTTATTGCAGGCCTCACATGTTCTTGATTCAAAAGGAACTACAGCGTACATGGCAATGAACCCATAGGAAGATCTCCGTTGTAGGTGTAGACTAACAATACAAAGTAATTAATTATAAGAATAAAAGGCCTGGCAGTTAACTGTGTGAAAACTGGCTGCACAGAGATGCCCTAATGAGTGGAGAAACAAAAGACTGCCTCGGGTATTGCGTGTGGCCTATGGCTGGCATGTGCCTTATTCCAGATTTCAGTCCCAAGCACACACAGCTTCTATTGAAACTCGAGGAAGCCCAGTCCTTCCCATTGACTTCAATGCAGGCTGTAACTGCATAATTACTAGTAAGTCCAATCATCACTCATAAGGACTTTGTAGCTCTTGTTAAGACTTCCAGCTCTGAGCTCATTCTCATTAGCTTCTTCCACATGGTTCTGCTTATAGATGGCTAATTGCTGTCAGCATCTCAAGAGGCTTTTGAGGACAAGTAAACAGAGACTTTTAATTTTTTGTGTATGCCTTTAAATTAAGATGTTGATTTTCTTTTTTCTTTTTTTCAAAAGTTCCATGCTAAAAACAAAACACAACACAACACAACAGCACCATAGCTTTGTCTCTGCAAATTGCAGCCAG